TTCTCAAGGCCCTTCTTTTCTCCGAGCAATCCCCGGGTCGCACCTACCACACCTTAAATCAGCCTTACTGCTGCCCCTCGTTCCAGCGCCCTTCAGGCCTCGTCGTAGCCGTGTCAGGGCCTCCACTGAGCGTGCCCCGCCCTCTGCCCCTCCACCAAAAATTCTCGCGTGAGTCTTTTGCTGAGCTTCACCCAGCCTGCAGCACCAAGAGCTCGCATCACAAACCACACCACACCCCCTGCCCCTCTAGCCCTTCACACACCAATCTTCCCCCCTACGAACATCATGGGAAAGACGTCCAAGGATAAGCGTGATGCCTACTACCGGCTGGCCAAGGAGCAGGGCTGGCGAGCGAGAAGTGCCTTCAAGCTGCTACAGCTGGACGAAGGTGAGACAAGCCCCCCAGTCTTGCGCCAAGTGAAGTGAGTGAGATGATTAACAACAAATGATTTGCAGAATTCGATCTCTTCAATGGTGTGACCCGTGTCGTCGACCTCTGCGCCGCCCCCGGCAGTTGGTCCCAGGTCCTCTCCCGCGTCCTCATCAAGGGCGAGAAGTTCGGCCGCACCGCCTGGCAGGACCGCGAGGCCAGCTTCCGACAGCAGATGCTCAAGGTCTTCCCCTCCGGCGCATCCGATGTCGATCAGCCCATGACGACGCCCGCCAGTGCCACGAGCCCGGGGGACGACGTCAAGATTGTGTCGATCGACCTCCAGCCCATCTCCCCCCTCCCCGGCGTCGTGACCCTGCGGGCCGACATCACCCACCCCGCCACCGTCCCGCTCCTCCTCAAGGCTCTGGACCCAGACTACGACGCCACGAGCCAGAGCAAGAACGCAGCGCACCCTGTCGACCTCGTCATCAGCGACGGTGCCCCCGACGTCACGGGTCTCCATGACCTCGACATCTACGTGCAGTCTCAGCTCCTCTTCGCCGCCCTGAACCTCGCCCTCTGCGTCCTCAGGCCCGGCGGCAAGTTCGTCGCCAAGATTTTCCGCGGCCGCAACGTCGATGTCCTCTACGCCTCAGCTCAAGGTCTTCTTCGAAAAGGTCATTGTCGGCAAGCCCCGCTCCTCCCGCGCCAGCAGCGTCGAGGCCTTTATCGTCTGTATCAACTTCCAGCCGCCGCCCGGCTTCAAGGCGAGCCTCGAGAAACCCCCTCGGCGTCGGCCACCACGTGCCCGCCATGGTCGAGGAGCGAAAGGGTCCAGCTTCGCCGTCGTGGCCGACGCGTTGCACCAGAACCTCCGGCACGGGCGTCTGGGACGGCGTGCCGACGGCGACGTCGGCCAGGCTTGGCTCGGACGTCATGGACGTCGAGGCCTACGACGACGTTGACGAAACATCCGACATGGACAAGAACATTCGGTGGATCGCGCCCTTTATTGCCTGCGGCGACCTCTCGGCCTTCGACTCGGACGCCTCGTACCAGCTGCCCGAAGACCACGTCTCCCTCGACCCCGTCCAGCCCCCAACGGCACCCCCCTACAAGCGCGCCCTCGAGATGAGAAAGGTGGCCGGCGGCGCCTACGGCAAGACGACGATCAAGAGCTGAAAGCCAGAACCCATTTCATTGAGAGGATTAGATGCACATTCACAAAGAAGCATCCGCGCTCGCCACTGTCTTGTCGCTCCCGCATACCCTCCCCTTCATTGCGGCTTGGCCCGGACGCCGCCGCCCGTCGCCTGCATGATGAACAGCCCATCGGCCGACTCGCTCCACTCGCGCGCCCCCAGCGTCTTCTCGTACATCCTGTTGCCCTGCTGCGACGACGATATGAGCAGCACGCGCCGCAGCTCCGGCCACGCCTGCAGCTCCTCGTGCAGGCACTCCATCATCCAGTGGCCGAGCCGCTTGCCTTGGTGCGCGGGCAGGACGTACACATCGGTCAGGTAGCCGACGCTGACGTAGTCGGTCACAAGACGGCCGAAGCCGACCATTTGCGGGCTCGACTTGCCTGCGGGGACGACTCAGCGGACGGGAGCATCAAGAGGCATGCCAGGCAGAATGGGACAGGGCAAGGGCAGGAAGGTCGTGTACATACCGGCAATGGCAGATGTCGAGTCTGGGAGCGCGTACACGGCGATGCAGAGCGAGTGGTTGACCATCTGCCTGAGGGCCTCCTGCGGCAGGGCCTGCGACCACCACAGGACGTCCGAGTCGAGGGCCGCGTTGAGGGCGTCGAGCTGGACGAGGCTCCGGTTCGTCGATACCATGTACCCGTCGCGGTACCAGCTCCTCGCCACCTCGTCCGGCATGACGGTCTTATCTGCGCTCATTCTGTGTATGATGCTCTGCTGTGCTGGTTATACAAGGACAATGGAGGGAGAATCCAATATCATGCGTGAAGAAATTGTCGGTTCTGGCCTTTTTTTTTTTGAATCAATTCAGATGGTCCCCCACATCTTTTATACTCTCCGTCCACGCTGTTGATGAATCAGGAATTGTGACTCCTTCCCGCGGCATGTCACGGCCCACCCCGCTTTACCTTTGGAGGTTGCTCCGCGCGCGAGAATCATGTCCATCCTCGACCCCACACTCGCACTACCATGCACCGGCCCGGGGTCTCGTCAGCACTCGGTCCCCTCCGTTCCTGCACGGTGACGCTCTAAGGAGGTCCGAAGGGCAAAGTAAGATGTTAGGGTAGAGACTTGGTTAGACGTTCTCTTTGTTCGGGTGCCGTTGAAGAGTGATCGTCGTAGGTGTACTGGGTGCTCGTGAAACTGACTCGCTCCGTCCTGCGACTTGGCGACGAATAGTTGCTGATTGAGGACCTCCTACCATGTCCGTCATCCATTGTCTTCGTTACACTCGTGTGCGGAATAACGTGACTATCTGTATCATAACTCAATTCACCCTACATTCAGCAAAACAATCCCCTAAGCAACATGATCATCTTGACTTTACCAAAGTGGACACAAGTCACGCAAGTGGTGAAGCACATACATGGATAGGCCCAGAACAACAGCGCATTCCTCGATACTTCAGGCCGTTACCTTCCTGAGACCTTCAAACGCAGTTCTTGCGCTGGCAAGACCCTTCAATGAGCTCTGACGACAGCGTGACCGCCAGTGAGTAACCTGGCATGGCAGATGGAAAAATGACAAGCCGCTATCGACATGTGCAAATTCACTAACACACAACCGAGAACAACCAAGGTATCAGGCAGCCTTCAATTACAGAAACATCACGCCTCGAAAACCCTTCGTGGAGCACACAAGGGACAAACAACAGTCTACAGACAAGAAAAATCTCCGTTTCGTCAATAATGTGTGCATGCTAGTTGTACACGTGGGTACCATCCCACTTGTGCTTTTTGACCCCTCCCAACCCTGTCCGTGACCACCAGACTGTCATCCCAGGTCCAAGCAGCCAGGGTGTATTAGTACAAAAGAAAGAGAAAAAGTCCAGTGACTTGGCCGCCATGTCCGCATGCCCTCCTCTACATCTCCCATCTCAGACGTGACACGCACTCAATGGCTGCCGCGCGCCCTCTTCGCACCTCCGCCAGCCTCCCCGTCGCCCCTGGGGCGTTTGGTCCCGGGCTGGAAATCGTTGGCGCCCGGGTTCAAGGCGCCTCCCTGCTGGTGTCCGCCGCGCCCGCGACCTCGGCCGGCAAATCCCCCTCGCTCGTTCGGCCCACCAGTCGACACACGTTGGCCGGGCGTTTGATACGTGCCGCGGCCTCCCCGTCCGGCACCACCGCCGCGACCGGGGACTGGGATTCCACTTCTGACCGTAGGTTGATTCGGCTGAGCCTGACCTGTTGTTGCTGCTGTCGTGTTGGCAGCAGCCGCATTGGCGAACGGGTTCGCGGGAAGACTGGAGGCGTTGCCGCTGGCAGCAAAAGGATTTGCCGCGGCTGGTGTGGTTGTCGGCGCTTCGCCAGTGGTGGCGGCTGCGGCCTTCTGGCCTGGTGGCTGAGGAATGCCGCTGGCAGCTGCCGTCACCGGCTTCTGTCCAGTCGCCGGTACCGGTGCCGGTGGTGGCTTGCTCGGAGTGGCTATTGCAGAGTAAGTGGATGCACTGCTCACTTGTGGTGACTTGGACTTACCAGAATTGTTGGCTGGAGCAGTCGCCGGCGCAGGCGCAGGCGATCCAGAAGCAACGCGAGGTGTGTTGTTGATCTGGGCATTAGCCGGAGCACGCGCAGGCGTCGGCTGAGCCGCAGGCGCAGGGGCGGGCTTAGCGACCTTTGCCTCTTCCCAGACCTCGCCAACTGGCCTGGCGGGCGTGTTGGCCGCAGCCGTGGAAACAACTTCCAGTTTGGCGTTTGCCGCCCTGACCTGGTTGTCTCTCATGTTGATCTGCAGTGCAGACTTCTTCTGCGCGAGTGCCTGGCCCTCCTCTCTCGCGGTTGAAATCTTCGCCTCGTATTCCGCCTTGAGCGTAGTCTCAGCCTTGGCCGAGTGCTCCTCGAGCTTCTTCTTAAGATTTGCGGTGAAGATGCTCTTAGCAGTGGGGTTGGTTGCGAGAAGTTTCCGTACCTCGCCATCAGAAAGTGGAGCGTTTGCGGTCGGTGTGTTCGATGTCGGTTCAGGCTCTTGTTTCTTGACCGGTGTCGAGGCGATAGGCTGTTCCTGGGAGGGCGCAGCGGCTTGGTGCTCCGCCTGCCAGATAATCTTCTCCTGGTCGACTCTGGTCTGGAATTCCTGCTCCAGTTTCTGCCTATCTTGGCGCAACCTATCATTCAGAGCGTTTTTCATCTTGTCGGATCGCTCCTTAAGCGTTTGATTCTGACTTTCCTCGATGGCCTTCATCTTGGCTTCGCATTCGGATGCCTTGGTCTCATATTCCGCAGCCTTCGCCTCAGCCGCAACGATCTTGTCCTCCAGTGCCTTGCGCTCCTCGTCTGACAAGGCGTTGTGAACAGTCTGGGCGGCAACACCGCCAGGCTCGGCAGACGCTTGCGATGCATCGGCGGTTTGGCTTTGTTGCTGAGCCAGCTCGCTGGCCTTCCTCTGCGCCTCGTCTCTGGCCGAGACAGCACTCTGCAACTCGGAACGCAGGCTCTCGAGCTCTTGTGTGGCGGATTGCTTCTGCGCCGTCATATTCTCGAGCTCATTGCGCAAATTCGCCAGGTTCTGCTCCAACTGCGCAACCACATCTGCGGAAGCAGAGCCCGACGGGTCGGTGTTCGCTGCTGACGGCTGAGTGGGTGTCGATTGGTTTGCCTGGGCCTCCTGCTGCAGACGCTGGACTTGTTGCTGGAACGACGAAATCTGCTGTTCGTACTGGGACTTCTGCGACGACGAAGCCTCGAGCTCTTGCTGGATCCGTTGCACTTCGTTGTTTGCTGCGTTCAGCTGTTCCTGAAGCTGTCGCACCTGCTCATCCTGTGTGCTCGAAGCGCCCAGCTCATTCTTGACCTGCTCAAGCTCGGACTTGACAGCATCCAGCTGAGCCTGGATGTTGTTCCTCTCTGCAATCGCCTCATTCTTGTCACCCGAAAGCTTCTTTGATCGTTCCTTGAACTGCTCCGTAAGTTTCTGGCGCGTGTTCTGCCAGTTGCTCCGCTCTCCATCCAGAGTCTTCTGGATCTCATCCAGCTGTGACCGCAAGGGAGCTTCGGCCTCCTTGAGAGCATCGCGTTCGGCCTCAAGATCGGTGACCGTCTGCTTGAGCTGATCCATCTCGGCGGGGTCGACACGGCCGTACTTGGTGAACATGCCCTCAGTGCGCTTCTGCCAACGGTCGCGGTCCTCCTGTATCTGCTTGATCTCTTCCTCGAGGAAGCCCTTCTGGGTCTCAATCTCCTCAATCTTGGCCTCCAACGGTTGGACCTTGCCTTCAAGCTCCTCAATCTTGGCGTTCTTCTCGGCAATCTGGGCTCTGGACTGCGTGAGCTCATTGCGTAGAGTGGCGCTGCTTTCGCGGTACAGGTTGAGCTCGTTGATCTTCTCCATCAGGTCTTTGTGGGCGAGGGAACTCTGGCCGCTCTCGGCTGCGGTTCGGCGTTCCTGGTCAAGCTTGAGACGTGTCTCTTCCAATTGTGACTGTGAGTACGTGAGCTGCTGCTGCAACCTCTTCGATTCTTGCACCTTGAGGTCGTACTGGACTTCGAGAATGTCCTTCTCGCGCTGCAGGTACGAGTTGAGTTCACGCAGGCCGTCGATGGCGTTGTCGGAAGACCCTCCTCCCTCGGCAGAGTCTGCATTGTCGATGGTCGATGTACGGTTCTGCTTGAGCGCGGAGAACTGTGCAGTAACACTCTCAAGCTGCTGATGTAGGAGCTTGTTCTGCGCGTTGGCGTCATCACGACGAGCCTTGAGTTCGGCAATTTCCTGCTCCAGGTGCTGTCGCCTGTCTTCCCATGAGCCTTGAGACTGCGCAAGGGTAACCTTGGCCGATTCGGCTTCGGCCCTCAGAGTTGCTGTCTGACTCTTGAGCTGGTTGTACTCGGCGCGCAGCTGCTGCGCCTGTTGCGCGGCCTCGGCGTGCTTCATCAGCTCGTGCTCATAGTCTTTCTGAATCCCGGTCGTGATCTCTTGCTGGAGACGCATGTCGTCTCGGTGATGTTTGGCAGCTTCCGAATGGCGGTCGGCGGTCGCCTT